CCCGTGTGTCACAAGGACCCACTTGCACGCAGCCAAAAGGCAAAGAGGTAAAGAAAAGGAGGAGGAAACCAAACCTGACAGGGAAAGAAAGATAGGGAAAGAAAGATAATCCAATTATCACAAAGCAAATAACACATCCCACAGATCAACGTATCTTTTTTCTTTTTTTGTTTTTTTCTCTTTTTTCCTTTTTTTCTTTTTTTCTCTTTTCTTTTCTTCTTTTTTTCTTTACCTGTCCCCACCTCGGCAGATAGGACAGCTACGGTGAGGATGATGTGGATGTTCACAAGGATGCCCAAGGAGAGCTGCGCCAGCACAGCTTCTGCAGGACGGCTAGCACGAACCATCCCATCAAAACAGTCCTCTATGTCGGGCAGTCGTTGATGCTTAACCACAACCGGGGTTAAGGTGGATTATCACTCACAGTGTAATCAGTTAGGGGATTCTGCAGACTGTCGAGGGTTCAGCCTCTACTGATTGATGACTCGGTGAAACTCCGACGAGACATTTTGTCACAGCCCCCCTCGTTTGGTTTGTTGTCCTCTTCTCCCCCTCCCTCTCTGCCTACGGTTTACCCGGCAGCAGCTCTGTTTGACGATACATATCGTCACAGAAATATGTACATATATTATGCACATATATTGTCACACTACATATATATACGATACCTTTATACATATATACATATATACATATGTGACGATATATACATATATACATATAAATCGTCACAATATATATATATATATATACTCAAACAGAGCTGCCCGTTATACCGTATCATCGAAGGAACATAATGTCAACAATTTGTGAACATTTTTTTAACAATTTGTTTGTCTGTACTATGCAAGGAACATATAATACGCACTTGTCCACGATTTGCAAGAGCTTGGACAGATTTCGTTGAGCTCCCTCGAGTGTCTGCTGCCTTATATTCACGCTCAACGCTTCGATGCACACGTTATCGATATTGTGCGCTTCATCGAAAACCACCACACACTCTTTCTCCATCTGGCGGGAAATGATTCCCGCCACTTTCGGGTCCAGCACATACGAATAATTGTAGACGACAACGTTTGCAAACGTGATCATGTGCCTGGCCAAGAAGTAGGGACACCATCCCTTTTGCTTTCCAAACTGTTTCAGCTCGTGCAACGTGTACACTCCCGGTGGGAGCAGCGCATCCCCTCCACTCTTTTGATACCCCTCAAAGAAACTGCACAACTCTATATCCCCTACCTCCTCTCCTCCTCCTCCTCCTCCTCCTCCTCCCTCTGTCATTTGCATTGCCCTCTCTCTCACCCATGACGCTGTCAGTTTCCTGCACCCCGCATCCACGCTCTCTCTCGACCCTTCCCCACTAACCCTAGGATGAATACATAGATTTTTGCGTGAACTGAGTCCAAGCGCTAAGATCTTCGCTTGATTACCTAATTCTTTCTCTTGATAGGCTTGAAGAAGACGGAGTTCCGCTAGCACTTTTTCCATCTCATGGACGGTCCGAGTGCAGTAGACCAGCTTGCCCATTTCTGGATGGGCGAGCTGATAAGAAGTGATGAGAGAGAGCAGAGTGATCGTCTTTCCAGTGCCCGTTGGCATCTCCAACAAGCAGTGACCTTTGGCATCAAGCCCGCGCTTCAACTCCAGCATGTAATTGTACTGCTCAGGGTAGATGTACTCATACGGAAAGTACACCGTCAGCCCTTCTAATCGGAATTTCATTCTCTCTCTCTCTCTCTCTCTCTCTCTCTCTCTCTCTCTCTCTCTCTCTCTCTCTCTCTCTCTCTCTCTATCTATCTATCTATCTATCTATCTA